TGTTTCGCTTTGGCATCTCCGCTGCGAAGGATACGTATTGTACATACACCATGCATCTATCAATCGTTTTCTATAGTCTTAGGTTTTGCGAGACCATCATCACAGTTCCGCCCTTGCATGCATTCGATTAATGCAGACGCTCTAAGCTATGAAGCTTGAACCACTCGCGCTTCATTTCGAGGCCCGGTTTGCTCAAAATCTTGACGAAGACCCATGTCCTGATGCCTTAAGGGCTCTGATTATACAATACACGGATTTAAGGTCGTAGAATGTGCACTGGATCCGCCGTTCGAGCAGCTATCAGAAAACGGTCTCCGCAGCTTCAGGTAAGAAGCCGAACACCACAGATGTACCTCCCCACCCCCCAAGCTGGGGAAGCTGGGATCTAGGCTGTTGCATGCCTAATGGCCTTCTTGGTTCAAAGGGCTACTGGGTAGAGAGTCAGGCTGCCATCGAAGCCCTCTCCCTGATCACCGGTGCAGCGTCTGCCTGCAACATCAGCCCGGCGTCGCCGTGTCTGGAGCTTGCTAAACTCCCACAGATCAAGAAATCTTCATGGCAAGGCATTCGATCATCCAAAGAGGTCGCTGCTTGATGTGACTTGCTTGGAGCCAACCATGAAATACTTGAGGATCTCGAAGTTGACTTTATTAATTGGGATTTAGTGGAAGGCGCTTGGAAAGACGAACTTCAGGTTGTAGGCAGCAACCTGTTTGCAACATAGCTCTTACCTCGCACTCTATTCGGGCGTGCCTACAAACCTTTGCCAGCTCTTACACACCTGTCTCTTTCCGCCGCTTACTTCCCTCTGGTCTTGAATGACATGAGCTGACGGATGATGATATGGGCTTGCTTAACCATATCGAAAGACCTTCTAACTTTCTGGGTGCTTGTCCTGAAAATACCATCGTGTTGGAAATCATGCTGCAGCACCATAATGTATTGTAGCTACCCATCACGGTGGCAATGACAATATGGCACTAGCGTGGCTTCACATGGTATATAAGTAACCTACATACCACTCCATAGCAAGTGAATCCTTCAACCTCTCATCAATTTCAACACATCGTGTTCAAGCAGAACAGTGAGTGAGATTGGCCTGGACGATACGCGGTCTCGGGAGGTAATCTCTAAAATGTCTGACGCCGCCAGGGCCTCTACTCACTTGGGGACGTCGACTCTACATAGCTTGCCTATTGTTTGGGGGTCCTAAACTCAACGTAGGGGCTGAATACAGCGCTCAAATTGTACGGCTAACGATAGAGTGGAACAAGTCTTGGTTCTTAGCCTTGCAACTTTCTGACTCGGTGACGTGACCTTTGCCTCGTCACGACTTTATCAACAACCATCATGACCGCGAAGGAAGACATCAGGTTTCAATTAACGCATCCACCAGAATTCACCCTACATAGAGCATCAGGTGTCCACTACAACGGCGGAGGCTGCATCTTCAGCAACCCTGCCGCTTTCTCACAGCTTGGTTTCTGAACATTGGCGAGATTGCTCCCAGTGCCTCTGCGGGTTCAATCCTAGAGAAAACACGGCTGTCCTATCCACGTCTAGATTCGCCTGCAGCATACGCTGCAGAAGAGCCATTGACAGGTGCACTATAGCTCGTAATGGGCACCTGTCTCCTACCCCTTGCAGGGGTCGTGACAAGGGCCTGAAACAGGGCGATGTGACCCACTAACCCCCAGTCCCAGTGTCGTGACTACAGGCAGGATATGGGAACGCTCATGAGTCGACGCATGAAGCATCTGTACGGTACAGGTTTCTTGGTCTGAATATTTCATGGTTTCGTCCAACGGCAAGGCCCAGAACATCAAGCAGAGCAAATGGTGGGATTGGATTGATGGATCTTATCCGATAAGATAAGCTTCATTGAGCTTAGCGCCGTTAGATCTTGTTCTCGACCCAGGTTCTGACCCAGAAGTCCGGTACAGCCTTCGTTGACTCCCGGTTGACTCCCGGGATCACCTTGTCCCCTTCCCTTTCAGCCGCCCGGTAAGCTCGCCAACAGCAGACTTGAAAGTTGAGAAACAAACCAGCGAAACCACTACCAGAGTCCCAGCTTCTGCTTTCTCAAAGTGAATACCGACTGTGCTGTGTGTCTGCGATGGCCTTGAAAGAATGGTGTAGCTAATACATCTATCGTCTTAGACACGAACGCAAAGCTTTCCACGAGCGCTGGTGGCAGTGTGTGCTGCCATATTTCGTGCTGTTATGTCCTGAATTCCACCAGTACAGCATAGAATTAGCCAATGAAGAAGACAGACCAAGCAACACAATGCTAGCCCCGAAAGCAGAGCGGTGCTAACTGCTAATTAGACTAGGCCAACTTTCCAAGGGCAAAAGGTCGCCGCTACCTTACTACAAGTGCGATAAAAGCGCCCATGCCAAACAATGTCTCATGACATCAATCCTCCAAGCAGCCTCTACAGGAAAAGGCCATAGCGAATACACAGGCAGCCTTCGCAGGCTCAAGGTCTTGACAAAGCTTGAAGCCGAATATGCTCACCCGATCGAACGCATCTGGATGTAGTCGATCAGGAGGTCTATTTACGCCATCATGAATATTACAGTCACTTCTTTCCTAACATATCCTCTGCCACTCGCGATACCTTAGAGGACGAAGGATTCCATTTGCCTGACTGCAAAGAGCTTCATTTTCAAGCCCACAACTAGAGCGGCTCCGAGTCTTGTCCCCTGACGGAACAAAACATAGACGAGGATCCTCAATTGGACCCTGGAGTGAAGCTAGCAACCGACATATGGGTAGCCCCCCCTGTGGCCCTGGTGAAAGGATCTCTTCGGAAGAAGACATAATCTTGTCGCAGGGAGGGCGAGGGAAACCTATACATCTGGATAGGAGCAGCGTGCAGTGAAGAGTACTTGACGATCCCGGCATGGAAGCACAGGCCTGCGTGCGATATTGCAGCCCGAATCCTGATGTCCACCGCGCTCAATGTGAGGCTGCGAGGTACAGCTCCTGATGCTCAGGAGCTACCTCACCCCCTGAGAACCCTGTTCTTCTGCTCTTCTGCCCCTCTGTCCCTCTGCCTCGAGGCCAAGGAGTTCAAGGCTTCCTCCCACGGTCTTTCCGTACCAAGCAATCCCCAGCGCACTTCCGTTTCCATTGGCACTATTTCCTTAAACAAACTTGGAGTGGCATCAATATCTTTCGGGTCGCAGGCGTGCGACGTATATACCAGCGTCGCAACTTGCATTCTTTTGTAGTGCGTCATGTCGACGTTCGCCCGAGTCAGCGGCGACTAAGTTGACCGAGATTCGAGAGAAGGTGATGCTTTTGGCGCTCATTTTGCTGTAGATCATTTGGGGGGAGCGCGAGAGCTTTTATGGGAGCTGTGGATCCGCGGGATGCAACATGTGGTGGCAATTGAGGCGCAAACAAGATGCATGCACCCAGATACAGTTCTCGGGATAATCCCGAGTCCTAGGTCAGGGGCTTCTGCAATTACGGGTTATCAGATCGGAGAGACCGTCGGTGTCTTTTGTGCACAAGCTGTAGATGTCTGCTTTCAATGTCACGTGCAGGCGCATCTTCAGGCTTGACAACTTGGCGATTTGAAGGTCACGCTTGGTTGGTCTGCAAACGTCTTCAAATCTTGAACCGGCTACTTTTTCTTACACTTGCTCTCCAATCTCATTCATCACTTGAATCATTAATGCGATCATCATTTGTGGTTGTACGTCCGACCCGATGAATTGCGGGCTTACCGGCCACACCACCAGACACACCACACCCACAAGGTTCAAGATCGCCAACATCTCAAGGCATAAATCCAACGCGCGTTTGTTACCGTCACTGCGCGTTCGCTAGGAGACACCGAAAGCAACGTCGATATGATCGATGCATGACCAGACAACTCTGGTGGGAGGAACGAAGTACTCCGAAGGTTTAGGGAAAAGGACTGGTGAATTCTCTGCATAGCACAGCCACGGCTCCACGAGGCGTTCTAGAATTCGAAGGAATATGCAGGGGTTGAGGAGAGTCGGCGGCTATTGCTGCCCTATAGCGACAGCCGCAACCCTTGGACCTACCCTTTACAGTTACCCCCGATCGTTAAACCCTTCCGATTGAGCCACACTTTCTGCAAAAGAAAACAAAGAATGAGGCTGTGCCTAACCGCTATTCCCCTTTACAGTATTCTTATTCTCATTCGGAAGGAGGACATGTCTGGATTGTGTACGCGTCAGAAGCTTTTCCCAAAAGTTGGTTTCTTCAGCTGTGCGAAGACTGCAGAGAGATGTGAGCTGGGGAACGACCCGATTTAATAAGTCTCTCACACAATCGCTCGGCGCCTCAAATTACAAGATTTCATCGGCTTCCACACCCAGAGAAGTCAATTGTGGAGCATGTGGAGTGTAAGATTCACGACTAGCCAAATGGAGTGACATGCATCTGTCATCGCTTCAACGATATTGTGACTTGAGAGCTCGTTGCGGCCCTGCGCCACATGTGATGTGTCTCTTCATATGTGATGTGGCTCCTCTGGCTGCTCTTCTACACGCACTAGCCGCTGGAAGAGGGTGTCGACGTTTCAACGGACCAAACTATCGCTAACCAACTTACTCGGATAGGTGTTTCCGTGGAGATTGACACGGTCTACTGTGACGATTGTCCGGGGTGCAAGTACTTGACAGAGCTGGATGGACCTGATTGTCTGCTTTCGCTTCCAACTTGTAGGATTTCTTCACTCAAAAGAGCAAGTCTACAGTGGATGCCGTGAGATCGGTACCGTAGATCCCAGCATCGACCGGGGAAAGCAATGCCATGAGGTATTACCATCACGGTCTCACCACAACCTGTGTACGTGTAATATCGTTTCTCATACGACATAGTAGTCCTCTGCAGATTGCTTGTTTTACTTAGGCTTCGAGAGCCTGCATCCGAAGCGATGTCAATGGATCATATGTCTCCGTTTGCAACGTTAAATAGACCCGTCAACCGCATCACTTGCAAGACTCCAAAAGTCAAAATGTCTCAACGTCGGTAAGAGACTCAACTTATCCTCATAACTATCGCTCCTTCCACATCGGCTGACTCTTTCCAGTGCCAACGAAGGAACATCTGCAAGCGAAGTGCCTCAGCAACCCACCGCCAATCCCTGGAACAATCAACCTGTACCGATGTGGATGGGACCTCTCGCCTATTATAATGAGGACATGGAGGGTCAATTTCGAACAGGCTTATCGTACACATTCCAACAGATGAACGCAAGATCTTCTTATGCTGACCTATCTATAAGTCTTACCGGTGGTCCTGGTTTCGGTAACCAACCTCCGCACCAAGAGTCGACAGCCATGGAGGACACCTTGTTTGAGATAAATCAGACCGGCCTGTCGCCAATGTGGTATGATAACCATCATAAAACTTTGGTGGACAAATCTCATGCTGCTTTAGGAGAGACCCATCGCCCGCATACGTGGACCCAAGGGTGGGACGTTCTGTCATGCAAGCCAGAGCGCCGCTTCCTTTCCAATATGTATCCCAGCCGCCGTCCGCACCCACGCCTACTGACCCAAGTACGGCCCCGTGGGAAACCTCACCGGTCGAAATTCACTTACGAGGTCGAGGACCGGCTTCATCTACAGCGAGGTGCGTATATCAATGCAACAAGCCCCGCGACGTGCTCTTTTACAACTGATTGGGCTCGAATAAAACTTTCTACATATATCCTGCCCCGGGATTTCAAGCGGGATGCTGATATTTTGCAAGGCAAACGGCTCTCTACCAATCGCTCATGGGGCAACCAGCTCCGGGAGAGGTAGTCGGGACCGCGACCCCGGTTCCAGTCTCCCAAGGCTATCCCGCACCGCAGTATGCCCCATACCCACCTTACCCCGGTCCCTTGGCCCTCCCACCAGGACAACTGCCCGGCCCCACCGGCTATGAAATGATGCCGCAAGACCAGACTCCCCTCCATCCCGGCAGCCCAACTCCGATGCTCGTCCAGCTAGGCGCCTCGCAGAACTTCCTGGTCAACAACAGGCCTGCGCGATGGATCCAGGTCCTCGACGTCGACCCTTCCTACCAGCGCGCTCGAACGCCGTCTCCCAACAGGTCGCCGGGTAAGAAAGCCACCACCACCCTTGCCCCTTCCCCTTCCCCCCCCGACCCCAGCACCGACCCCACCCCACCTCCTTTAAACAAGAATTCCACATCGCTAACCCGCTCCGTGTTTTCCCCAACCCACAGCCCTGAGCGTCTACGTGCGCGCACCCGAAACCGAAGTCCACTACTGGGCCGTCTTCCTGCGCGAGCTGACGGTACAGGAGCTCATCAAGCGCGTGGTGCAGAAGTACGGCTTCAGCACCGACGAGCGGGACCGGGTCCGGATGGCGGTGCGGGTCACGGACGACCACGACGGCGGCGGCGGCGGCCGCGTGCAGCACCTGACCGACGAGGACGTGAGGCACATGGAGAGCGAGGTCCCCATCGACGTCAAGGTCACCAGTCTGGACCCCGAGAGCGAGGACTGGCAGCTCGAGTTGAGGTACTAGGGTTGTGAAGATGGGGCCTGTGGGCGCGGACGGTGGGAAAATGAGGTCCCTGGTCGTACCGTCGAGGTTCAGGCCACGACTTTGCGACCTTCGAGGGCGAGGACTACCAGTTGGGGTTGTGCTGGTCGCCAGATTGGAACGGAGTCTTGTCGAACATTCCTTGCTTTCCTTTCTCTTTCCTTTGGTCGGGCGAAACGTCTTTGGACCTGCGGTGATAGAGTGGAAACGGTATCTTGTCGAACATTCTTTTGTTTCCTTAGTGGGCGACTGGCAAATGGAAATTGTGGTAATAGAGCGGACAGGAGTCTTGTCGGGTATTCTTTCTCTCTCTCTCTTTCTTTCCTTTTTCCCGTTCCCTGGCGGGCGTTTGATGGGGCCTTTCTTTCAACAAAAATCGCTGTTATCGACGCTCGCTGCCATTCATCATTAATACCCTGGTTCGTAACCGGTTCAGCGACGGACACTATTACTTAGATCTCCTGTATGGTTCTATGTCGTAGAAATCAAATCATGTTTTCCTACATCCTTTTTCGCCATTGGCAAGTGCATCTCATGCGTGTGGGATTTGATCCGCGGTCTCTTCCGGAGCTCCAGCATGGGAACCGCGCGAGTCGCGGTGTCCGCAGCCACGCATCAACAACAGACCCAGCTTTCGATTCTGCTTCGAACGACGACTACATCCCCCGTAAGTTCCCGCAGCGATAGCTCCTCACGCGATGTGTGTAAAATGCACACCCTCGATTGGCTCTGCGACACCAATCTCGAAGATCTGTTGGAAAACTCTGAAGCGAGGTTCCGGAGCGAAAAGTCGTTGTCGACATGTGCGTTCGTTTCATGCGCTCTTGAATGCTAGTCAGTGAACAGGGGCGAGGAGATCTAGCTCCATGAAAGGATCAAGAGGACATTGATAGGGCGCGGATAGAATGGTATCCCGCTGAGCTCTGAGAAAATCATTGCAATTTGGACCGAATTCATGAAGAAGGAAGGAGGTAATACATTTCAGATTCTGCCATAGACCCTTGCCATCGCCGGCGACCACTAAAGAAGAGCAAGACGACGGAGTCGGAGAAATTTTGCAACGATGGGAGAGACGACCAAGACATTCCACATCCCCTTCCTTCCAGAGCGAAGACTTCCCGGTCGTACTTCCGGTCCACACTCTTCTCGTCGCCTACTGCGCGCGCGCATAAGGACCAGAACTTCTTCGACGGCTAGCTCCTTGCGTACGTACGATTCCCGATGTCAACATCCATAGAGTCTAAAGTCTCCACCTCGACAAAGATCCCACAGCTGTCCGCACCGCTGGCTTCTTTGACAAAATGCCGACAAAGGCCGGCCTGTCTCTTGGAAGTCAAGGCTGCGTATGGATATTTTCCAGTAATATATATGAAACTAGATGGCATTGCTCCGCACTGCACCTCCACTACATCGGAACCTTGCGAAAAGCTCGCTGTGCGATCGTCTCGTTCCTATCTACCACAGTCTCCTTACCGCAGACAAATAGCAGTGTTAGCGCACCCGCCCAGTCCGCCGCGACGGGATGGCTCCAAAAAAAGAGAGAAAAGAAAACAACAAAAGGGGCCACAGGCTGAACAAAACACAGAAAAAGGTCACCCCGAAGCCAAATCCGTAGGCCCAGCAGCACAAGTAGGAAGTCGGGCTGCACAGAACCATTCCAATGCCTAGCAGGGATAGAACTTCTCAGCTGTCGGCCGAGCTCCACAAGAATCCGAAGAAGAGAAATGCAGACATTGACGCCTGCGCCAACACCGGCGAATGTGACGAAAGACTGGCGAACGCGACTGTCAAAAGCTCCGGCCAGAAGGACTAGGTAGACGACTCGAAGATCGAGCAGAGCGCCCGGGAACGGAGATCAGAGTGGTGAGCTGAGCCAGCACGTCAGCCACAAATGGTGAGACGGTTGGACTGTCGCGGCTGCAGATAGCGGGTTGAAAAGGCAGTGTTTCTGGCACTGTGGTGGATCTCTAGACAAGACGAGCAATACTGACATGAAAGCTCCTCGCGTACGTATAGCAATGCCACCTCGCTGGTAGTATCCTTCTTCATCAGACACCCATATCTCTTAACCTCCGAAACGCTAACGCTCACTGACTTCAGCGCTTAGCGAATGTCCTACCCACACTACCCCCACCGCGACTATATGCACAGGATCAAGCGCTTCGTGCTATTTTCTCCAAGCCACGGTAAGGTCGAAGAGACTTTGATGAGTACATTGTATCATATTTTTATAGCTCAACTTTGACCACCCAAGATGGTTCCACCAGCTTGACCTCATTCTACGTCGCTCGCTGCCGTGTCGAAAAGTGGCAAAAGGGTAGCAACTACCATCGAGTCGGCTGCGTAGATTCGCGACCATCTTCCGTGCTTTGACTGCCTTCCTCTAAGTTCAATGCGAGATTTTATGTCGAGTGTGACTGGCATCGGTAGCGAACACGGGTTCTCGGCGACCATGCATGCAGGGTCAGACACGGATGTACGGTATTACCGTTTCTGAATAACTTGTCTTCACAAGACAGATGCAGACCTGTGTCACTGATTGGCAAGCAGACAACCACTTAGAGTGAATCATTCGCAAGTTCCAGTACACAACCTGCATCAATCATGCGTGGGACAGCCTCGCTTTCCTGAAGCAGTCTCCAGGGACGACACGAGACAGTGACAAGTGGAGCTTGAAAATTAGGCAGGTACGGAATTCGCCGTGATAACAGTAGAGATATCGACCGAACGGGCAGAAGAAGTGTTCAGGCGACATCCTTTTTACTCCACAGCCCATGCCGTAAAGACACAATTATTGCAGACAAAAGATACGCCGTATCGACATGAATCGGACAGCTCCGGCATTTCCCATAATTGCTGCTACCCGGACCCCCCTTTCTCGGTCTTTCTCGAGAATTACCAGGCACGTCCGAGATAATGACCACACCGAGCGCGGCAGTACGCGAGCTCGCCGGCTTCGATCTCACCAGTCTTTTTTCTCATCGCAGCTTGCCATTGCCGCTCGTCAGTGTGCTGTTAGAGGAGCGTTCGGATCCATCCGATGCTGTGAGCAGTATAAGTTCCCTTAGCATTGATGCAATGACTTATGGAATAGGTACGCGCCGTGTAGGGCTAGTCACCACTACTACATAGTAGGCTCCACAGCCGTTCTCCTTCGTAATAACAGAAGCACTTGCAGCCTCCTGTTACACCAAAGAATGTTGGCGCGGGCCGTATGAGCTTCCCGTGATAATATGAGGTTGCAAGAGGTTGTATAATCAATGAAGGACGGCTGTGAAGCCTACTGCTGTAGTAGTGGGTAGCCCTACAACAAGGCCGGGAACATATTTCCACACTTTCCGCAAGATTTCAGGCGTGATAATGGACTGTTGTCAGGTATAGCGACAGAATTGCGGATAGGTGTATCGTAGCGCCGTCCTGCCTGATGTGAAGGAAGACAAGACAAGACAAGAAGACAATCCAGGCATTGGCCGCTGCTAACCGATCTCCAACGCAAGGCCACAATATTGTTCATTGGCAAAACCTCCTGTGAGATGATCTTAGACCATTAAGCTTACTCTTGATCCACGTTATTTCCACAATGGACCATTTCAAGAAAATTTTCGCTTCTTATACCGCCCGCTAATGCAGCGGAGGCAACATGAACGTCACCATCAGCTTGGCAGAGTGCAAATCTCATATCTTCGAAGCTGAGAGTGTCGTCGTGTCGTCGAGATGGCACAAGAGTGCCGGATTCTCGTCGCGAGCTATCATGTTACATCGTGGCAACTTGGGTATTTGCTTCTATCCGTACGTCTCAGATCTTGGACCAAAACCGCGAGGGGTAGGAAGGATAGGTATAGAAGGGGGCATTCCGCGTTGGGGATTTGATGGGTGTCCTTGTTGCACCAAAGCGCAGCCAACACGCTGAAGATCTAACCTTGTTTCTTCCTCAACGCTTCAACTTGCTACAGTAAAGGCCTCATTAGCCAGAAAATCATTCTACCCACAGACTTTCTTCGACGAACGGGGGTAGTAACAACCAACGAGACGCAAATACGCACATTCGGGCGCTAGTTCTTCTTATTTGGCAATGAAATTGAGTCGCAAGACATGTTTCGGGAGCAAAAAGACCCTTCTACCCCCCAGACCTGGATTTCCTACCCCGAATAAGCAATTCTAACTCCAAAGTCTACGTGGGTATCTTTCATCGGCAACAGAGACAACGACATTGCAGTAGTGACGAGCACAGCCTGATGTGTCCGCACTTCGCGGCCATGTTCAACGTTCCTTCTCATCTTATCATCAATGTAGCTGAAACATGTCTGTCTTGCTACCATAGTGCGCATGTCTACCAGCCTCATCTCTAAAAGCAAGTGCTCCAGCAGGATAGGGCAAACAGGAGCTCCCGCCGTCGTCAGTAGCACCGCCTGTCCGATGAATAGGTCCCAGTATACACAATCTGATTAGTTCTCTATCCAGACTCACTGCCGGTCTGATGACCAGGTTGGATTCTATCGGCACTCGACACCTTTGGGTGCAACCAATAGGTGCCCTCTTGGTTGGCAAAATCTGGGTGCAATTCTGGATATGCGAGATGTAACACCAAAATTTCCAAATAAAGATTCGCAGATTGGATTTGCACAGCGGTGCGCGAAGGGGTTTGCGCAAGAACTAAAGTCTCCATAAAGTATGGGCAGGACTCGCAGCTCGCTCAACCGCGTCCAATTTCACATAACAACATCTGCGAAGATTAGTGCGACCATTACACTGCCCACCGCAATCTATTATTCAGAAGGGAAGGCATTCATGATCATAAACAGCAGATGACGAAGCCCCAACAACTTAACAAACAACAAGTACAGGCCGCCGGTCTCTTTAATTAATATAATTTGTTTTAGTCGTGAACTCAGATATATACGCAAAGGACTAGTATCCACACAGCCACAGTTGCGAGCAAGGAACTTTAACAGTTAGGAAAATCCTCTTCCTCGGCTCCTCTT